CGTAAAGGGGGGCACTAATGCAGCAGCACATAGCTGCCCCCCAACAACAGCAGCAATCCCCCCATGCGGAGAGATTTAGTCCAGATATGGAACTGGACAGGCAAGGTGTGCAGGTCTTGCCACCTGGTTGCCCGCTCCCTGTGCCATCTGCTCCATGAAGGCTGCTGGAGATGTCCAGCTGCATCTCATTGTCTCCAAAGGAATGACCTTCCTTGTCTTGCTGCAGTTCTTTGGGTGGGTGGCGGGTGCGGGTGGATGCCAACAGTGTCGGCTGGGTTCTTGCAAAGGAAGGGTAGAACAAAGAATTCAGAAGCAGGAGGGATTAGTGAAAGAGAGATGGAGGGGAAAGAAGTGCAGTGCAGTTTGTAGATCAATCTATCTACAGTGAATGTGTTCTTGGATTTGTTGCTTTTCCTCCCTGGATCGACATTGATCCATGTGCCGGTATGCCTGAGTGACTCTATGAACGGGTGTATCGTTTATGCTTTTATGAATATGGACTATAGGAAGATTCATAAGCATAAGGAGATTCGCCTTTGGGTTGCCATAAGTTGGAAATGACTTGAAGGCACATGACAATTGCAACAGATCCATGCAGGCACCTGTACACATGCCTGCATGACCACAGATCCGTGGCAGGTGACAGAGTGTTGCACTTTATGAGTACACTGCTCTGCATGCAGGCATTGTGAGAATGTGAACCGACATTCTTGTGCACACAGTCAGATAAATGTGCAAGAGATACTGATGTATGCATTTTGCAGTATATATATATGTATATATATATATGTACATATACCTGATGTGTATTTGTGTACTGAAGTTTGGGGAAGTACTGTATGTCTTCACAGATCCAGTGTTGTGTTGTGGTTAGTGTGTTGAACAAGGTTTTGGCAGACCTTAGTTCAAATCCTTATTCAGCCAGGAAGCTCACTGGGGGAGGATGGGGAAGACACTCCTTTTTTAAAAGTTGAATCTACCTCACAGGGTTGTTGTGAGGATAAAAATGAAATGTGGGAGAGAACCTAGGATATCACTCTGAGATATCTGAAGGGAAGGTTTGATGTTAAATATAAGAGCCAGTGTAATGTAATGGTTTGGGTATTAGATAAAGACCATTGGAGACCAGGGTTCAAGTCGTCACTTGACAAGTCACGCTTTCTCAGCCTCAGAGGAAGGCAATGGCAAACTGCTTCTGAATAAACCTTGCCAAGAAAACCCTGTGATAGGTTCACCCTAGGGCTGCCGTGCGTTGGAAAAATCTTGAAGACAGACAGCAGCAACAGCAAAATAAAAAGAAAAGGTTTATGTACAAGGAAGGAGGGAGGTATGCTCATTTTGGGTATGGGTGAAGACATATGCTAAAATGGGTGTGTGTGTGTGTATATATATATATATATATGAATATATATGAATATATATATATATATATATATATATTCAAATCTGGGTTTTGCTCTGTGAAAAAGTTCAAATCAGGTATAACAGAGCAAAAAACGAAAATGATCTCAAAATACATGTTAAAAACCTGTAGTTAAGTGATTCTGTTTCTCTAACACACTAGTGCTGATTTAGATATTTTCTAAGTTCGGGTGTCTGCAAATGCACACAGAAGCGCATGGGAAAGAATGGTTTTGTGGGTACATACAGTTTCGTATGACTTGTATCTAATGTATGTGAATATGCTAGTGGCTGTAACTGTGAAAAGGCACATGCACAGATGAGAATGGGGAATATCAGTATATGACCCTGGGAAGGAATGCATGCATACTAATATATGGTATATTTTTTGAATCGCGTGATTTCGAGTCAAAGCATGGAGGTATACAGCTCTGGAAATGTACATGTGCATACACAGGGCTGCAGGTATGTGTTTGACTTTGCTTGCAGCTGAGTA